CATAAGCCAGCAGGAGTGAAAAAGTGAATTCAAAAAAAAAAAAAGTAGCATAAAAATCCCCAAAAGTAATCAAGACTTGACCTTTGGGGATTTGTATGTTGGGTTAAAAAGTCTGGAGCCAAATGGAACACCAAATTTAAGTCTTCTGCTTTTAAACATCATGCCAAATATATGACTTTGTCATTTCATCATATAAATAAAGCTTGCACTCTTAAAAATCAGTAGCCATCTTAGAATAAACTCTTTAACAAGTACTTCTCAAGGCCTATGGTTTGCTGAACATTGTGCTAGGGGCTTAGAAAAGGAGATTCTGACAAATCCATTGCCTCAAAGAGCCTACAGTCTGGTTATAGAGTGAAAACCAACAGTTAAGATCAAAGCAAAATGACCACATAACATCTACTTTGGTGCTATGCGGGGAGGTACAATCAGCACCATTTTTTAGAGGAATGAGAGAGATTAGGAGCTGGAGTATCTGTGAAGGTGGGTTTAGTTCTGATAGGATAGTGTGATTCTCAAGATCTCAGACTCTGATGTCTAACAGGTCTGAATTTGAATACCTGCTCAGTCAATGGTCAGTTGTGTGATCTCACGGGAAGTAGGAGGACCTCTCTGAGCCTGCATTTGCCAAATGGTGATGTGGACTTCACAGTAGGAAGCTCTCTGGGCAGACTGAATGAGTTACTGTTCCACTTTGAATAAACTGCAGCTATCTTTATTATACTTTATCACCACCATCACCAGCACCTTCACTACCAGGCTTTGGAGGATGAGAAGGCATGTAAACAGGCACAGACGGAAGCCAGCCTTCCAAAGGAAGGAAGGGCATAAGCAAAGGTATGGAGGTAGGAAAGAGCCAGCATTTTACTCCCAGCCTAGAGAGGATTAGCTAACCCAGAACAGGGGACAGTTCTTCAGATGTGTAGGGAGAGACAACTGGACAAAGAGGTTAGGACCAGATGATGGGGAAAATCTTTTGTAATCTCCATAGAGCCCTGTACCTTAACTCTGGGAAGGCAATGTGCCTTGACAGAGCTGAAGAGTGAAATCAGTGTGTGATTATTAGGGGCAACAAGAAGCTTAAGAATTATTTGCTGACTGATTGGGTTGCAACATAGGAATTAAAGATGAGTCTTCTCTCTGTATTTGTAGCCCATTCAGCATTTTTCTTACAAAGATTCCAAAACATAAGTAAAACCCGTAACAATTACGCAAGAACTGTTTTTCTGAACTACACTCGTCTGTGAGTGACCCTGGTGTTTCTGTAGACTCTAAATGGATATAGTATGGCTTATCTTTTTTTCCTTGCAGACCCCCACTCACATTATCATCAACCAATGGTTATGGCAAGACAGGTGGAGTCAGCTTTTAATTGTGGAAGGAAATAGATCAGCCCAAAGTTGTTTCTAAGAAGTAAACATTTTCTGTTTCTTTAAGAGAGAAAATCTAAGGCCATGAAAAGAAAAATAGCCTGACTCAGGATGTAGATCGGAGAACAAGCATTAGCTCTATAAGGAGACTCTGGGGCTTTTCAATATTTAGGATACTAGTATTTGTCTTCTTAATTCCCCAGTGGGATTTTTTTTTAATCCAAGGATAGGATTAATTATCTTGAAAGAGTCTAATCTCTACCCTCATGTTTTAAACGGCAAGCAGGGAGATGTTTTAAACATTATGAAAAGAAGAGAAAATTTCTCCTGACAGATAAACGCCTTGAAATATTAGATATTAGTACTAGTCAAGAGCTCTTTTCAGAAATATTGAAATTACATATTAGAATGGAAGGATCCTTATGTTATGCTCCCTCGTAATGCCACAAAAAGTAAGAATTTAGAAACAATTTCAGAGACAAAAGATTATATGAAACATCCAGCTCTTCCTCTTATGGGAAATTTCTTTTTTTTAACATCCCAGGCTCAATCATTTCCTAATGTGAAATTACAGATTTTTCAAATTACCATATAAAACTGCAAAAAAATTACACTTGTGACCACAGAAGAGATAGCATACACTATCAATTTGATTTTAAAAGCCATACATCTTTTATACTACCTGTCATTTTTATAATGCCTTTTACAAATTTAATCAATACATTTTAACATTCTATATACTTTAAGTGCAATATACAATAAATATTCAAGTTTCATCTTAAACATGCTTTAGCCTTTAAATTGTTAAAACTGCGGTGCCCTTTCAATCTACTTACATAATGTCATAAAATATACATTTCAAGGTAAATGAAGTCAGCTACTTCAATTTAGTCCCTTAAACTGGTAGTAAATGAGAGGTTAACACTATGGTGCCAAACCCATTATTGAGTAAATTTAGCACCTTGGACAGCTCTGTAAAATCTTTATTGCTTTCCTGACCTGCTCGTCATGTTCTGTCTGTGTGTTCAGTGGCTCTCAGCTCTGATTGAAAGGCAATATATTAGATCCCCAACACAAACACGCTTGGGGGCTAGTTCACTGGGAGCATAATGACATGGAGGTGAGAGCAATTTTCTGGTCACCAAAATCCAAGCACCTTGCAGGTTCGTTGCACGAATGCATACAGTACCCAGAAATTTCCTTTCTCCTTCCCATTTGCAGAAATAACTAATAGAGGCTGGATCACACTGGCAAAGCTGAAGCAAATGTGGGCTCACCCTTAAACCCGAGAGCTGATATTGCAGTGAAGGACATTTTGAAATGTGTAAAATATAATTTGAGGGAGTCACTTCCAGGACAAGAAATCCAGGTGCTCTCCCCTCAGGACTGCTGGTGTGAAGGATGCTGGGCTGATGACCCCCTACGGAAATGTGCCTTGTGGAAAATCAGGCCCCAGCTTTATGGAGGGAAGAAGGAAGCAACTTCAGGAAGCAAGGTTCACATGATTCATTTTCAGAGGATTAAATGGTGACAAGAGCCCTGGGTATTGAATAAGGAGAAAAAGAAACAAGTGGATTATGTCACTGAAAAACTTTATCACCAAAAATGTATGAGATTAAACTATATAGCATAGATTGATAGTTGGTGTTTTTTCAGGTTTACAAAAACTTCAAAGACCTTGGAGGTTATTTTGAACTTTCCTCTTCCCTGGTTCTGTGAAATTAATTTAAATGAGAAACACTGCTCTAAGTCCTCAGTGAGAGTGTTCGAGATTGAAGTTGTACTTCATCTTGCTTTTGACAAACAGGAGAGTTGTATTTTTTCCCCCTACAACGAAAAGAAAGGAAAATACCTTCTCTGCAAAGCCCAAATACTGATATATTTATTTGACAAAATAATTGAATGTAGATCTAGAGAAGTCAAATCTTAGTAAATAAACTAACTTGATCCTGTTTTGTTTTAATCGTTTCCTAAGAGCCAGATAAAGCCGTGAGGTTTTAGTGAAAGCAGCAGAAGCTGAATTTGATCTGGAGATGAGGTCTGTGTGCCCAGGCCACAGTAAATTATTAACTGCTGTAGTCAGACAATACTGAAAACAAAAAGTGGTAAATTGTCTTCTAGCTTGCATTAAAGAAATAAATTATTTCAGATGTATTGACTCAAATGCCATTGATTATATAATACTTATCACTCCTTATATGAAAAATAACTACTGTTTTATAAATGGGGTCTAGCAGCTTAAGGCAAGCATGAATGTTTATTGAGAACTAAAAACCCATCTATCTCATATTTGAATTTAGGACATTATATATGTCATAAGTAGTTACTGCAGTATGACAACTATTTTATTTTTTATTGTAGAGAATTTAAAATTGAAAAATGCTAATATGTATCTAAAAGCTTGTCATTTCAAGAGTTGTTCAAGGATTTTGAAGAGGCTATGGTGACAGCAAAATGAATGCAATTATATTCCTATTTTCTGATCAGTGTCTACAGTATATGAAAACTGAGCAGCACGGCTTCTCCATTCTCCATGCAGAAATCTATTGTGTAAAATATTTAAAGTTCAACTTCTTTTTGAAACTTTATCCACAGCCAAAAAAAAAATTGTAAACACATCTCCTTACAAATCACTTCTGATGATCATACTGTGCCTTTATGTTTGGTTCTCTGATAAGCCTCCATTTTACATGTATCAAGCTTAACTTTCCTTTTCACATTCCAGTGTAAATGAATCTGCAGAAAATGAGGGCAGAATAAAGAGGGAACAGTTTCTATGGGTTAGATTTAAAAAATTACCACCACGAACACTTCTGTGAGTCCCCTATATTATTAGAAACAAGCATGCAAGCTAAACATGGAAGTCCACCTAAATGAAAAGAGGGAGACAATTTTTCTTCAACTGAAATGAACAGCACAGCATCTATCTAGGATGAGAATGAATGAGCAAATGGGGAAGATGATAAACAGTACTGAAATAGCAAAGAATTGCTGGAAAAGAAACAGACTCTGCCAGTCATGAAAACTGGTGGAGAGGGAGCTTCTGGGGGCAGGAGGATCCTTTTGTAAGAGCCTCTGACAAAGAATGCGTGTCCTCAGTACGTGAGTGTACTATGTCACCTCTTCATATCATGACTCTGCCACACACAGGAGATAAACAAAAGAAGTTTAATGCTACATGCTTCTAGTTGCCGAAGATTGATTGGAAATCCCTCGAAAACGACCTGTCTGATAAGGTCATGGTTCCTGGAATAAGCAATTAAGTGCTAAATAAACACATCTTAGGGATTCATAACATGCACTGAATGACATCGATTGTAGTAATCTAGTAAATGACCTCGCAGTTGTATTCAGCAATAAACATATGAGTACTTTATCGTGCCTATGGCAGACTATTGAGTGATGTATTTTATCTGGCAGTACCAATGATGCTCACCTTTTGACTCGATTAAATGTGTATGTGAACAGGGATAAATTGGTGATTTAACTCCATTCTGGGGTTCCCCAGGCTACTGTCTTTAAAGCAGTATGTTGGCAAAGCATGGCCGGAGGGAACCGGGACGCCATCATGTGAAAAGATAACGACAACCTGCCTCACTCAGAGGATTGTATCTGCTTTTCTCTTGACAGGAAGTAATACTCAAAAGGGCGGCGGACCTGGTGGAGGCGCTGTACGGCATGCCGCATAACAACCAGGTGAGCGTGCGTGGCTCGGACCAGCGCAGGCTTCCACATTCAGCTGAGATATCAGAGTCCTTACGGTGACGAAAAAGCATGAAAATGTACACGCCACTTGCATGAGTTGAGAGTACAAGCCATCTGGGCATAGCATGTCGCAAGGCTCTTCAATTCCTCTCTCTTCTGTAAATCTTGCATTGCCTTTTCTATGGAATCATTTTCCTTACTAGAAAAGGTATTCCATTTAAAACGTATCTTCCCTGGGAATGTACTTCATAATTGAGGAAGAGAATTACTGGTGCTTTATTTTATTTCTTGCAGGTTTTCAAGCAAACTTAGGAGCAAAAGGGGGTTTAATTTCTTCTCCTAAAAAGTATAACGAGGCCTGAATATTATTGTCTACTTTCATTTCATAGAGCAATTCCATGTATGTGATTCAAACTGCTCAGCAAACTACGAGTCTGAGAAATCATTCACTCCTTTTTCGTGTCACTTGAATCGATCGCTGTCTAGGGCACTCAGCCCCACTCACACTCAGGAGCACAGGTGGTCAGTCATCTATGACCTGCCCTTAACTTCAGTGGGAGAGATGAATAGCAGTTTGTGTGTATGTGTGTGTGTGTGTGTGTGTGTGTGTGTAACCCTAGAGTTCCTATGTGTTATTGGTGGGGAAGGGAACCCCACAGTGCTGTCAATGGGCTTGCAGTGACACAAACAGAATTCTGCAGCCCGGTGCTGTCCTTATATAGGCAAGGGTCCCAAAGTGATGTGTGCACCTCTTGGAGCCTCAGGGCCCCCATTCAGGACATGGGCCCGCTGATGATGGGACTAAACTCACAGGATTGTCAAGAGGTTCACATAGTTACACACAGAAGTTCACATAGTTAATTAACCTTTCAAAGCCCCGAGCTGGGTGCCTGGCATATAGTAAGCAACTGAAAAATGGTTTTACTGATAGTTGACTGGTGGTGGCTGATGGAGTATTCCTTTTACTTTTTAGGAAATTATTCTGAAGAGAGCAGCTGACATTGCAGAGGCCCTGTATAGTGTCCCCCGCAACCACAGCCAGCTCCCGGCCCTCACGAACACCTCGGTCCACGCAGGAATGATGGGAGTGAATTCCTTCAGTGGACAACTGGCTGTGAATGTCTCCGAGGCATCTCAGGCCACCAATCAGGGTCAGGAGCCTGCTCTTCTCCCTTCCCATTTCCCTGCTCCTTCCCAACCTCAGGTCACCTCCCCTCCCCCCATTTATTTGGCATATTTTAATTAAAAAGTATTTTTTTCCATCAAGGGTGATTCCTAGCTTGTATCAAATATGATTGTAGAATTTTAGTTCCAGCTCTCACATCTGGTAATCAGGTATGGGGACTAGAAAGGAGGCATGCATCTAGCCATCTCTCTGACTTTCACCATAAACCATGAGTGACAGATAGCAAAGAGGGTTGGAATTAAAGTTCTGAGGGGCCAAAGCACATCATCCTCGCCTAGGGAGTAGGAACCTGTTAACTCCAGGGTACATCTCTTAGATTGGGATTTATTTCTGCTCCAAAATGATAATTTATAGGCCCTGCATTGCCACTTCTTACTGCCCTGCTAAGTATTTATGATCTCCTAAGAAATGTGTCTTTCGCTCGCTTCCCATTTTAATCACAGAGCTGGCACCACCAACCCACGCACATGAATTACTGAACCCCTTCCCTCTGGGGGTGGCGAGGGTAGCCAGAGCAGAGACCCTCCTTTTCCGAGGCTTCCAGGACTGCCTCCCTCATCCCCGGCTTTGCCCCCACCCCTCAGGTTTCACCCGCAACTCAAGCAGCGTATCACCGCACGGGTACGTGCCGAGCACTACTCCGCAGCAGACCAACTATAACTCTGTCACCACAAGCATGAACGGATACGGCACTGCCGCCATGTCCAATCTGGGTGGCTCCCCAACCTTCCTCAACGGCTCAGCTGCCAACTCGCCCTACGCCAGTAAGTAGAGCTGCGTGTCCTGTCTTTCTGCACGTGTTTGCTCGAAGAATGGGCATCGTGCCATGTGGCCCACAGTGCAGGTCTCCACCCTGCAAGGCATTGATCCAGGCAATGCTACTAAAGGCACCACGGTCTCCAGCAGAAATCTCTGCCCCACCCCTTGCTCATCTTCCTCTCCAGAGTCCCCCTAACTGTCTGAACACTGCTGCAAACAAACTGTGAGGTCATTATAAGAACCCAAGCTTTGAATCAGATGAAGGTGGGTTTGACTCCTGCTTCTACTAGTTGTTGGCTGGGGGCCATGGGTAAGTTCATCTCTCCAAGCCTCAGTTTTCTTATCTGTAAAATGGGCAAGGAACTAGCACCCACCCCATACAGATGCTGATGAGAGAATGAATGAAATGAATTTGTCCTGATGCTTGGCCAGTGAGCGTTACATTCAATAAATCTAAGTAATAATCATAATGATGAACTGATAATAATAAGTGGTGTTGGTAGTAGAGCTTTAAATCTCTCCCTTTAGGAATATGACTCCTTTATTATGTTAATGCTTGGAATTTTTTCCCCTTTGTGTTTCATGTAGACTTAAAAAACACTGGACAAATCAAAAAACATACTTAACTTTTTCCAAAAATCTGGGAAGATGACAAACAATACACATGTACCCAAGAAATGTTCTTCAGTGCTTTCTTCCTGTCTTAAAGACGTTTGGCTTAAAGGGTTTTTTCAGTACAGTGTTTACTTTGTATCTAAATAACTTCAAGGAACAGGCATCTTTACATATAAAATGTTGTGGGCTGTGTCCCTACAATCTCTTGGTCTCCCTCTGAGGATTTTTACATAGATAACCAAGTTTATCTTGGACTGGGTGGGTGATTCTCCGGTTTTGTAAAATGTGGCCAAACTCTTAGGCCTTTGTGGAATGATAGAAGATGTGTTGTTATATGAAGGAATATTCATGATTTTTTTAAAAAAAGAGTCTTGGCTTAAAAACACTAAAAATTATGCTATCTCTCATAGTGGACATGTGGAGAGGGCTAAGGCTTTGAAAGATGAAAGGTCATTCTTGGTCTTTGAGACCAGTTATTTCTGAAAGTAACATAGGGCCTTTTACTTTCTGGGTGACTTTTTACGCTCAGTGTGTATTAAATTTTTTATTTTTATTTTGCTTCTTGGGAATCAGCAGCATGTTGAATATTTCAAATTCACCCAAATAATCTGCAGGCATTATGTCTGTTTGCTCTTGAGTCAATGTTTGGGGCCAGTTTCACATGAGATTTTGATTCATCGAAAGATTGTTTCTCATAGATCTACCATTTCAGGGTTCTCCCACTACTCAGTCAGAAAATGTTTCAATCATGACCTGAAAATGAAAAGGTAGCATTCTTAATTAAATCAATAAACTAATTGCTATATGGTAGCAATTCAATTTAGGGGCTTGAATTGTTCTGTCTTCCCAGGCCTGTGCAGACACCCAGCGATGTGAGCCTGAGATTGCATCTGTCAGACTGTGAAACTTCGACAATTTAATTTCCATTAATTGATTTCCTCAGTGCTCACAAATATAGTATTAAATTCTCAAAAAGGCCTCTCAGATGGGACGGTTTTATCTGCATAAATGCAAATAAAACAATAAACACAAAGCCCAGCAGATCTGAATTTTTGCCTCCATAATATTTAATTATTCATAAACCACTCATGTTGAAAAATTCCAAACAGAATAAAAAATAAAATAAGACATTCCACTGGTGAACACACTTTCTGGTGTGGTGGCTGATAACTAATAATGTTATAACAAATGGAACTGCTTGACTATATTTCACCCTTTCCTCTGTGAACCGCCCCCCTCAAACCCTCCACCTCTAAATACACATAATGATCGCGTTTGCCAAGGAGATTAATTGCCTTCCTCAGTGAACCAGCAGGATTTCAAGTCTACGAATATTTAAAAATCAAACCTCTAGTGCAGGAGTTTTGCAATTTAAATGGGTGTTATTATTGAGCGTGTTTTCACATTTACAAATCCTAAGAGATGTATAAAAATGCTGGCCTCATTAAAAGAAAAAGTACAGTTTAGAAAATGTTTGTGAAAACTCTGAGCATGGTGGCTCCGTGTTCCTGTCCGTAAAGCATTCTGTGCGTTTGGATTGTGTAATAGCCGAGAGCTGATCACAAGGGGTCATCTCCCCCTGATGGCAGCTGCTGCCTCTGACCCACTTGATTCCCACTCTCCTAGCTTTCCAGAGCCAAAGGGCTAAAGGGCCAAAGGGGAGACCACCTAAATGGCAGTTTGGATTCTGATGGTCTCTTGGGAAGGGGCCCTTTCCCCTGGCGATGTTTCCTTTGCAGGGTAGCATAGTGGAAAGAGCCCTGAATTTGCGTTTGGTTCCTGGACACACGGCATTCCAGCTGTGGCCCTTGGGCACATCACTAAACTCTCCTCTGAGTTTCAGCTTGCTCAGCTTGCTCAGGTGTACAGAGGATGTAATGGGCCCCAACTTAAGGTCACTTTGCCAATGACATAGATGAAAAGACATGAAGATTCTTGTGAATGATAAAGCAATGCATAATGTTTATTGCATAAGTGAAAAAATTGTACAGTAGAAGGAGGTACCTAGAATTTGAATTCAGTGCCTGAAAAATCATTGGACAGGATTCACACTTTCCCCAGGGAATGGAGGACTAGAAGGTGAGCTTATGGAAATATTGGTCTTGATGGTAGAAGCCTCATCATGTGCAAAATCTCTTTCTCCTGAAGTAACCATGAGATTGTTAGCAACTAGAGAAAGATGAAAGGCCAGGCTGGGAGGACTGCGACTGGTAGAGAATGTCCATCTACCCAACTCCCCGGGCAGCTAGGTTTTCTATCTCTGAATTGCTAGGGTTCTCCCTTCATTGATAATTCACATCCCCACTACTACTAGACTGTGAGTATTTATAGAAGGCTCCTATCCTACTGCTTATTAATCCACAAGCGTTTATGTACAGCTCCATGGGGGATACAAAGGATTTGAAACTTTCACTTGTACATAGTTCTGCATTATCCACAAATATTGCATGTGACAGTCTATTTATCCTCCTATCCTGGCCTCCTATCTGTCTATATTTGTGCTGTGGAGCATTAAAGTACTTGTATCTTCATGGGGAAGAAAGGGACACTTACAGAATGCCATCTGCCAGCACCTTAAGTTGGAATCCTGGCCTTTCATTCAACTCATCCTTGCTCCTCACACCTCTCATTCCACTGGTGACCACACCCTCTCAGGCTGGCCTCCTCCTGTCTCTTGTACCCCCAGCTCCTTTGCTAGAACCTCAGTTTAGGCCCTACCTGGAATGCTGCTCTTGACATCTCCTCTGTGAAGCCTTCTTTGGTTTTCTCTCCCCTGTCTCAACATAGTTGGCTGTGGCTCTGTCGCTATTCTGTGCTACTCTGCCCCTCTGAAGAGTACTTTCGCTTCCTAGCCTGGGATGCCCCAGTGCCTAGCACCCTGCCTGGCACATAGTGGCCCACAGCAAACACATAAAAGATCACCACAGCAAAAGGCAATACGTGCCAAGTACCAAATGATGAAAGCGGACAGGACCCCAGGAGTGCAGGGAAGGCTTGTGTTGGAAGGGTGGCCTGAGCAGGGTGGCCAGGGAAAGGCCTCAGGATGCGGGGAGAGGCACTGATTCCTCCTTTCCCATTACCCCTCTCAGTCGTGCCATCCAGCCCCACCATGGCCTCCTCCACAAGCCTCCCCTCCAACTGCAGCAGTTCCTCGGGCATCTTCTCCTTCTCACCAGCCAACATGGTCTCGGCCGTGAAACAGAAGAGTGCTTTCGCGCCAGTCGTCAGACCCCAGACCTCCCCGCCTCCCACCTGCACCAGCACCAACGGGAACAGCCTGCAAGGTAAGCCACAGGCCCCCCGGGCCCGCCAGATGCCTCCCCTCACCCGTCCAGGGCCTGAAGCAAACCTGTCCCGCAGCGAGGGGATCAGCCTTGGGACTGCCTGCTTCTCTCAGCCCCCATCTCTCCGTGCCCTTCCGTCTGCTCTCCTGAGCCCTGGCCCCAGCCCTCTGTGCCCCTCCTCTGCTGGAGTTGCCTGAGCAGTCCTCTTTCCCACTCTAGCAGTTCTGCTCAGCCTGGGATTTGCTTGAGAATACTGTTTCTGCTTACTAATACCATCGTTTCTCTTTTCTCCTCTCTCACTTCCGTGGTCGCCATAATCAGACCAGTCTTTTGTGGACTCTAGCAAGTTCTCCACTGCAGGGTCCCTTCCAGGACTGGCCTTCTCCTGAAGTAGGTCACTCAACCTTCCCTTCCTGTTGCCTGTGTCGGACTGAACGGGCTGGGGGGCTGGCAGCTGGGAGGAGTGAGCCGCATCCTGACCAGGGCCGTTAGGTCTGAGCTTCATAGGCCGCAGGCCCAGGAGTTACTACTGGGGACCAGAAACCCCAAAATGCCACCAGACTAGTCTGGTTCATGTTAAAATTGTTTAATTTCATCTCCATCATGGAATATGGGAGATAACTGAAGTGGTCTTCCTTTTCAATGAGGGAAAAATTCCACCTTTTAAATGGGTCCACCATTTCCTACATTTGTTTCATGGACTGGCCCTGTGTTGTGATGCTGACCGGCATAGCCTCATTCCTCCGCCACAGCAGGATTGTGTGATGGGCACTCATGGCCACTGCTTTATAGATGAGAACACCAAAGGCTAGGGAGGTTAAGAAATTGCTTGACTTCTGGCATTGGTATGTGGCAGAAGCAGGCTTCAAACTCAGGCTCAAAAATTCATCTCATCTTTCCATTCCCCCAAACACTTTATTACTCAGAAGGGGAAAAGGATGCATCCAGGTTTCCTAAGGTGGCTGACAGGGAAATAGGACCAGAAAAACAATTGGCTCCCATTTATTGAGCACTGAACCAAGTGCGTCAGGCACTGTGCTAAGCACCGAGCATGCTTTATCTTATTTAATCCTCAGAACTTCTTGATGAAATCTGAGGACTAGTATGATGTCCATTGTACAGATAATAAAACTGAAGTGAAGGAGAGTAAACATCTGCCTCCAGGCAGCCAGTAATCAGTGGGGATGAATATAAACCCCAGCAGGGAGGGTGGCCCTAACCCCTGGCTTACACAGCTCCCCACGATGCCTTCCTTCAGCTGCCAACTCATCCCCCCTTCACGATGGAGGTCAGCCCTGGAGGCCAGGAGGGCACCACACCCACCTGGGATTTCTCAGCCTTGTTTCTTATTTTTATTTATTTATACTTGTAAACAAATATACTCTGTACTGGATGCGTTCCATTGATATAAATATATCAAGTCTTCTGCAGACCCTATAAGGTCAGTATTATGCCCTTTGCATTGGTGGAGAAATTAGGGCCCAGTTTGCTCAAGGTCACATAGCTAGTAAGGATGGAGCCAAAACTGAACCCAAATCGTGTGACTCCAGGGCCTGAGCTCCTCATCACTCTGCCTTTCTGCCTCCATTCACTGCAAAACATTCCTCAGAAAGCTGCTGGCAGATCCGCCCAAGTAGGCGCCCACACAGCACACTGTGCCTCCCCCGGGATGTGCATCAGTGACACCACCTTCTCCGGGCAGAGGAGGGCCATCTGACTGTGGAACTGCGTTCAGGGGATGTTAGCCATGATAGGAAATGCCCACGCCCACACAGGGGAGCCACCCATTCATGCAAGTCTGACTCTTTCAGCTAAAAATAATGCTTTCTCACCATCAGGACACCTCCAGCTGGCAGACTAGGGGTACAAAGCTTCAATGAATGAACTTACAATGGCTTTAAGTAAAGACAAAACATATGGAAAGTTGAAATCTGCTGTTCTTGAGCTGCCAGTCACAACCTTTGTTAAACACAGATTTGACATCAGGGACAAGGTATAAGGGGTTTGCGACCAACAGCTGAGGAGAGGTGCTTGAGAAGCAAAGCCCCCAGCTCCTGGGAGGTCAGCAGCTGTATCGCTGGCCAGCAGTGACTTAAGCAGGCAGCCCTTCTGTGGGGCCAAGTGTCTTTTCATGTCATGTTGGCCAAGGAGCGAGCAGGTGGGACTGAAAATAGGGACTTGGCCTATGTCTTACAACCCCATGGATTTAGGGAACCTCCGGTGGGGTGTGTGTACACTTACATAATGATGAAATGGCTTCAAGACAGGGACACATAGAAAGTCTGTGTATTTGTCACCCCCAGAGCGTGTCTAACCCAAGTCTGCACAGATGCCAAAAGTACAGAGACTGCGCGCCCTCTGCTGATTAGCAGCCAAGGCTCCACCCCCCGTCACATTACACATGTGCAGCTGGCGCAGCATAGAGGATTTGAAACGAAGCTGGGGAAACACTGCATTGGATTTGCTGTTGTGGATGACCCTGCCCTCTCCTCTGCTTGAGCATGTGTCCAGAGATTCTTTCTGGTGGCTTCTGTTTTTCCAATACTGTCATGTACCAAATGTCCCTACTTTTGAGGGATGTCGGTGGAGGAGGTGTGTGCAGAGAAATTAAAGGCAAATAAACTGAAACTACCTTCCTGTAGGCTGTCCTTCTTCCTACCCTCTCTGCTCCCAACCACCACACTCTCCAGGCAGGGCCCACGGGCCCAGAATTGCACCCTGGCTCTAGTGCACAGCTCTGCAGCCTCCTGGGTGCTGTGCTGCTGTTTGCAGGGAGCGCCTGTGTGGGCCCGTGGACTCTCACCTGAGAGAAGTGATGTTCTGACAGTGGCCTTCTAGACCTATAGCTGAAGAATTACTTCATCTTTAGCCTTCTCAATGCACTTCAAACTGAAGTGTTTTATTCCTCTTTCTCCCTTTCATTGTTACAGTAACACCTCCTTCCTCTGGACCTGCCTAATTCAGAATTGTGATTAAGAACGGGCAAGTGACAGAGGAAGAGTTGGTCAAGCAAACTGACCCTATCAACAAGATCAGAAGTGACACGTTTAGGCCATTTAAATGTTTTAAAGGCCTATTTACCTCCAGCAACCACTCTGCTAATTGCATATCATTCTATTTTGTTAAGCCAACTCCTTAAAAAAGTCATTTCCCCAGGAACCCTTTCTTAGCCATCTCTAGTGCCTGAGAACTAGGCATTGCAATCTCACATGACAGTCACATCCACTAATATGGGAGGGCTTGTTCCCAGACTGGCTTATGCGTTATCTCATGTTCTCCTCCCAACCACCTTTGGATATAGGCTATTTACTGTCCCTATTTTATAAATGCAAAAACTGAGACTTAGAGCCAAGATGGCTTATTCAGAGTTACACAGCTAGCAAACAGGCAGATTCTGGGTTAAAACCCAGAAAACCCCCCATGCTCTACATCCACACTATAATCAAGCAACAGGATTAGGCCCACATGGACTGCAAAAACCTTAAAAACTTTCCCTGTGTTAGGGAAACAGGATCCAACAGTAAGGAAGGCAGAGCTGCCTGGCAGAGGCTGGACACTCAGCTGTGGACATTCAGAGGAGGAAAAGATAAGGGAGAATTCAGAAAAGCCCCATGGAGAAGGTTGCCTTTGAACTGAGCCTTGAATGAAGGGGGCAAGTAGGATTCGGGCATAAGGAGATGGGGGAGAGAAACATTGTAAGGACAACGTGCACCAAAGAGTACTGAGCAGCAATCAGGCTGACACCCAGCATCCCCGAGCACAGGTGCCCAGGAGCAAGGACAGGGTGGGACAAGGAATTCCTCACCTGGAAATCGTAAGCGCCACTCCTTACATACACTGTGTAATTCCCAGTCTCTATTGCCACTGCAACTGGCTTTCTCTCCCAGGGAGATAAAACCCTGGATAATATGCCATATGTCTGAGAAATTGTTCTTAGGACATAACAACCCTTATTTCAGCACTTTTGGAGACTCACAAGATGTTCTGTTTAAAAAAGTGTGGTGGTCAAATTGTGTTTCCTGAATCCCTGTCTTGGAGATCCACAACATACCTAAGCTTATTGAAGGAAGACTGAGATTTCCTGCAGTTAAACAAAATGACTAGTCCATATAGTTCTCTAAATTTACTTGCCCCCAGAACCCTTTTCCAAATTTTAAGACCAATTGACATCCCATGAAAAGTTTTGGAACATGCAGCTGTATTTTGGCTTTAAAGAGAAAATGCAGAGGAGACTTCCTTTATCTAGATAAAGTCATTGATGAATCCTGATCCTAGACTCCCCAAGTGTGTCTATTTTCACAGGTCAGAGACCCGAGTCACCAGCTCTGCTCAGCCATTGTCCTGGAGATGTCCTCTCCCTTCTCCTAAAGCTTATGTCCTCCAGAGCATGGCTTCTATGCAATTTCAGGCCTCAGAAGACTTCATTAATCAAGGGAAAGGCAGCCCAAGGAGGCTGTCAGCCTGCCGTTGGACCTTACCCCGGTGTAGTGATTTTAGACCCTCATCATATCCTGGTCAGTCTCTGCAGGGAAAAATTAAAAACAAAAGGCCAGAGTGATTTCAGAAAAGTTGTACGCACATTCTGATTTTTTTTTTCCCGACCTTGTTGAAGCTCAGGCTGCTCAGCCCCACTAGATATCATGCTTTCCAGGAGTGAATCTCATAGGATTGTCTTGCTCAATGCACATGCTCGGTTTGTGCCAGATCTCCCGCCCCCTATTCTGTTCCTGATTAGCTCATAATTCTTAACACATATGGTGATTTGAGAAAGACCACATTCTACCTTCTTACTCCAAACCATCCCAGCTCTGCAACGCTTTCCATTTTGTCTTCCTTCTTATCAAAATGTGGAGATCATAATGTACAAGGCATTGCCTTCCAGACCAGTAGTCTTCTGAGCTTCTTGTCAGAGAAAGTGATCACATAGCTGCCGGGAAAAATGGCAGAGCCTCCTCAGTCTCCCCAGTCTTGTGATGTCTTGGCACACGTTGCTCTCTGAGAGCGTTGTGTCCTCATGGAAGTCTTTGTGGGCCCCGCTTGAGCAAGTCAGTGTGCCAGCAGAATTTCTGGAACATTCCAAGCCACAAACACCCATCCCTCTCACCCACATAAGTAATCTTGAGGATTGCAGCACAATTACAAGAAAAACAGCTCCTAAAACCCAGGAGCTTCCCTGTAGTCCTTGAGGGAGTTTCTTCATAAAAAGGTCTCTTTAGAGGTCCACAAGCTTAGATGCCACAAACAAGTGATCTTTTCCTCAAATTTACTCATCATTAAGGGTTCTGCATCTGAAAGTTAGGAAGTCACAAATGAGAGTTAGGGAGTTGTAACCCTCTGATGTTAGGTGCAGAACATAACCCTCTGATGGGTAGGTACATAAGGGCTTTCTAGAGAGAGGTTTCACAGCTTCCATTAGCCTCTGAGAAGTCTGAGGACCAATAAAGGAATGGTAGGACAGTGTGGGCACACCAAAGCCACCCACCAGATGCCCTCAGATATTTTCGTTTGTTTATAATTTTAATGATTTGCTAATATATATAATCTGGGCTATTCCATCTTTTAAAAATTCCGCATCTCCATCTTCTCTTGAAATAATTCATAGGGTCTGGTGGCTTTGAGTAGACAGTCCTGCACAACAGCATTTGGGGAGGCCAAGTTGCTGCCTGCTCTACAGAAAACATGCCCTTGGTCCCCTCAATCCCTACCCCACAGCCTTCTCTCCCTTAGGTTCCCAGCCTGGGCTCTGATTTTTTTCTTTCCCTTGAATTTGGGCCCTTGAATTGCTGATGAAGAAACACTATTAGCTATGGACCAGCCTATCCGTTAGCTTTGTTTTATAATTTTAAATATGGCCCTCCTGGAGGTTTGACCTAATTAATCTAATACATCATTCAGGTACCAAAGCACTCTTATATTTTCTTTTTTTTATTCTGGCCATCCAGAATTAAAAAAGGTCCTCATGTTTTCAGGTCCAGCTGATAAATGTTGGCTGGGCCCACCAACCAAATTAGCAGGGCGTTTGTTGGTTCCACTTGCCTCGCATCGCATCGTACCGATGCAGCCTGGGTCATCCTGCCGAACCATGGGGGGTGCCTTTCAGTGTCATGCACGCGGGGCAGATTTTGACAGAAGGCACAAGTAGACTTGCTGCTTTTGCCAGACACTTAGAATTCCCACAGAGCAGCCTGTCTTTCATAAGGGTGCCTGGACCCACCACTAGCCTGGATGCAAAGCTCCCCAGGGGGGCAGAGCCATGCTGAGCTGTCACACTGCAAAGACCCTCCTCCCTCCTTGCCTTTGGAGCTGAAGCATCTTGAATTCTCCAGTTCAGGCTTGGACTGAAATATGGAGCTCCCTGTTTCAGTCAAATTTAGGGGTCACTTGAATCATAGGGGACCTGCATTTCCAGCTGATCCCAGATCTCTGGGGTGTTAAGTTGGTCTGTATTTGGCAAGAGACACTTCCTGTTTCTAAGAAAAATGGCTTATGAGGACTTACAAAAAAGACTCCAGGAGCTTTTGGACTGCAAAACGGCTCTTGCAAAACAACATTTGGATGATTTACGTGTATATGAATCAGAAACATGTGGATTAAATTTCCTTGTGAATACAGATGGGTTTAAAAATTAACGGAAAAAGTGTTTGGCAAAATAGTTTTTTTTAATTGAATCTGAAATGTCAGGGCTGGGGGAGGGGAAAGAAGGAGGGCAGAGGCAGCCCGCAGGGTGCAGAGTCTCACCTAGTCTTCCAAGATTTGTGGTAGTTGGGGTTTACTTAAAAAAAAGAAAAAAAGTCACATTCCTCCAGATATGAGAGTTGGGAAATGAAGAGGCCACCTCCTAGACACAGTCATCACTGACAAGAACACTAATTTAAATTTAGAATTGCCAATAAAAAGAATGGAATGACTTTCTCTCCCATCTTTTGAAGCCCAAGGTGGCTGCCACTCGTGTCTAATGTAGGCACACGCTCCTCTCACTGTTTTTCACAGTGTCTGAGTTTTCTTACAGATCCCTTCCTTCCTCCTGGCCATCACATGAAGTGTGCTGTATGGGATGGTGCCTGTTTGATAGAAGAGGAAACACAGCCCAGAGAAGTTAAACAGCACAAGGTTACACATTTAGCTGCAGAATAGATGGTTACACATAATAGCAGCTAACCTGTTAGGTCTTTACTAGGAGCTGACAGAGCCGGCCACTTTGCGGGCTTTTTTTATTTAAATCTCTAACAACTCTAACAGTATCATGGCCCTTTACAACACGATTAACTGCATTTTCTAGCTGAGGAGGCAGAGGCTCAAGGAAACAAGTAAGGACCTCTTGGGGACATACTCAGCAAGGGGAAAAGCCAGAGGGGAAAGCCGGCTATCGGATTCCATGTTCTTCTAAATACGCTGTGGACAGCCTCCTATTTCTGAACACTATAAAAGATTCTTGGTTATCCCAGACAGACTCCCCTTTACTCAGGATCTCAGCTCAGCTTCCCTAGGCTACAGTTTTCTAGGGACATGGTCCGAACATTCCAGAAACCTTGAGTGAAGCAGTGGCAAGAAGACAGATATCCTATGGTTCCCTGCAAACCTGCCTTCTCCTTGTGCTCCATGCCTCCTCCCAACTTTCTGTGCCTACGGACTGCCTGCTGTCACTGGCATTTCCTTCTCCTAGGCATAAGGACTGAAATGAACGTGCTCAGATTGCTGCTCTGGTGTCAGTCTTTGTGCTAATATAGAGCCCAGAGAGAGCCATGGGCTATTTTTTGTGTGTGTGAAAATTTGCTGGCAGTTGGGATGAATCAGTTTTTTATTATATGTTTTGGAAGTGAAGGGGAGGGAAAGAAAAAGTGACAAATGAAAAATTCTCACTTATTTTGCAAGGTTGGGGCTGCAACTTTCCCAGCAGTATTCAAACTATGCAACTTTTTTCCAGTTACGTTTTAAAATTGAAATCAGATTTGGAGAGATGTTTAGGATCTTCTGTTCTGTTAAAGATACATACACAGACTGATATGTTATCATTCTTAATAAAGTACATGTATATTTTATAACAAAAACTAACTCCAGGGCAGATGAGAGCACATTTGTGGCTAATATCCAAAATAGTAGTGTGGGGGTGTTTTTGTCCATCCTTTTTTTTTTTTTCAGTGAGAAGTTTGGATGCTAAACCATTGACTTTTGTCTTCTCTTTCCACAGCGATATCTGGCATGATTGTTCCTCCCATGTGAAAGAATTGCCTTGAAGAATTTTATTAATGAAGAGGTTGGATTCTGCTGCAGAGAGTAATCTGATACAAGTCCCAGAGTGGAACTTTTAACTCAGGCCTTTTTAAGAGGAATCACAGTAACTGCGGATTTTTAAACAAACAATATCACCAACCTTGCAAACACTGAAATTGGAAGGATCTGCGAGTGCAGGGTGTTGGTTAAATTGTGCCTCCCAAGTATTTGGGGGATATATTTATTCTGTGTTGATAAAAGCAAATCCACTTTTCTTTTACTTTTTTTTCTTAAGCTTAACTCGGCAATCATTTGTCTTTTATAAACCCATAAAGCTGTATACAAGGGACACTATAAATAAGACTCCATGTTTTAATTTATGATGTTTTTAAAGCTGTGTAAAGGGAGAATGAAGTGGTGATATTTACAAAAAAGTAAAAAAAAGAAAAAAAAGAAAAAAAGAAAAAATAGCTTGTATGGGACAGAATAGGAATGCCAGTTAGATTTTTTAGAAAACTAAGGGTCGGCTTTTGCGCCTTAAAGCATATCAAATGGTAGTTAGCTCAGACAGTGCATTTTCAATATCTAACTTAACATGCCATCCCTTAGCAGTGCAAGCTTATTTATCTCTTTTGTATTGTTGTCTTAAGTAACTGTAAATAAATGCAGCCTGGAAAGCTAAAAAGTGATGTAAGTGATCAAGTTTTTCCCTTCAACTCAAAAATCCAGTGCCTCTAGACAGATTGTTAAAACTACATATTTAAACCTGATAGCGTTCTCTCTTTTACTTAGTCAACTTCTTCTGAAGCCGATGGCCTCTCGAGAGCTTGGTGGCGCACTTAATGTGTGTGAATCTCCTTTGCGACTTCATGGAACAGGGTCCAGGCACAGAATTCCACATTATGCCCTCCAGTTATCAAGCCAAACTCCCTCTTACACTCCGCCAGTCACCAAGTAACAGTTTATTTATCCTAAATGCCGACCTCAGACCAATTTTTCGAAAGCGGACAAAAGCAACATGGCAGGTACTTGAGAATCCCCATTTGAGATTGCGCCTCGACCAGTCGGCCCTTACCATTTGTAACGTAACAGATTAAAGCGACAGGTTAAGTGCTTTGGAATCAATAGTAAAAGGAAACTGGTAGAAGGAAGAAGAAGGTTGAGACCTCCAAAACATAGTTTTGTGTTTTTTGGGATTTTTGCTCTTATTATCTGGGAAGTGTTCTTAAAAATAAGAATTAATAGCAAAGATGCAGCAAAGCTCTGAGGATGCATTTGCCTGATATTTTTTTCTTTGCTGTTGTGTTTTTGTATGTAGTTATAAATACTGTAGATTTTTTGTGATTTTTTGCCAAAGTTGTTGTCCTATTTATACATTTTAATGTCTTAAGACAGTTTTTCAATATCACAAAAAGATTTACTGCATATTTTGCAAAGAAGAGAAAAAAAAGCTCACTACCTTTAGCTTGCACATACTTGCGAAATTTAAAGGCTTTTTGTTTTAAAGGGGATTTTGTAAAATATCCATATAAATAATGTATTTATCTTTGGAATTTGTACATTGCTTTCCCCTTCTTCCTTTTCCTCCCACTCCCAGTTTATTTTCTCGTGTATGTTTGCTATGTGAAAAGTGAGTATTTGGTCACCTACAGTTGTATTAGCTGTTTCAATGTGATTTTTAAACATTTCATTTATAGTTATTTTTAGTATTGTTTTAAACCGTGCTTCAATTTTTTTAATTTCCACCCAAAAGCCATTGTCTATTTTTGTATTATTTGTAAGTTAAGAAGTTTTTTCCAATATATGGCAAAAAAAAAAATAGTAGCATATTATTCTTGTAGCATTTAGTTCTGTAGATTTAAAAAAATTGTATCCTTTGCTTTGGAAGCTTACAAGAAAAAACCCTAATGCTGTTTTACTCTATTAATATGCATGGAATCTCTCCCTTTGGAGTGACACATTTTGTGCATTAAATTCGGGGGAAGAACTTCATAGAAATCAGTGAACATACTTTCTTTCGTAAGTCTGCTTGTATATTTCCTCTGTCTTTCACGTAAATATAAACCAGCAGATTGGATGCCTTAACAATGCAAATCATATTCATTTCACTTGTACATTGTAACTGCACCAGAACTGTCAGTCATCACTCACATTCTAAGAAAAAAGAAAAAAGAAAAAAAAACAACAAAGAAATGGAAAAGCACAAAAGAACTGTTTTGTTACCTTAAGACAATGTAACTTTTTCTAGTAGAGCAAGAAATTCACAACGATGCTGCAACTGTGCATGCCCCCATATGGATTTTGCAATGGTTTTCACTAGACTGTCAGAGTGCGATTTTTATGGATTGGGGTGGGTGGGGGAGGGGATTTGTGGGAGGGAAGGGAAGGGAGGAAAGCTGATTTTTCATGGTGAGAAATAATAATAATGATGATTAATAATAATAAAAAAACTGGAAAATGTAAGCAAGGTGGACGCATTGCTTCTCGGTACTCAGAAAGGTTGTCTGATTTCGTGTGGTAAGCACTGGCCTGAAGATGTGTACAATTTAAAGCCATATTTTGTCTGGTGAGCCCCTGAACTGTTGGTGAAGGATGATCAGCCGGTGAGGTGTCCAGCTTAGACCCCGACAACAAATGCCACCCATCTGTCAGCCATGTATAGTGGTTAGAACTTTTCTGAAAGTCCAAAGAGCCTTTAAAATGTGTATAATTTGTGTTTTGTTGCCTCTATTTATATTGATTAGATGAAAAGACATTCCAGCCCTCTGACCCTCTTTCTTCTATACAAAACTTTTACAATTAAAAGATGTTCCCCTAAATGCAGAATATGGCTTTAAGAAGAAAAAATAGAGAATTAAACGAACATTTCAGTTTTGGGGGAAAAATACAGCTTCTGGATGACTGGATTGCATAACATGCCCTGGCCTCACATTGTACTAGGATGCAGCTTAATGAAGTCATCTCTAAATCTACTAACCTTTCACCTTCTTATCAAACTTTTTGAATAGACACACACTGTACAGTTCAATTGTTAGAGAACCTAACTACTGTAGAAGTTGTTATAATTTTTTTTTTTTTTTGCAAAATTCAAGCTGTAAAAACTTTTCAACTTTCACAATATTTAATTAAAGTTACTTCCTGTCTGTGATGGCAGCTCCTAGTTGTGTATTCATTTCAGTATTTCAGATGAGCCAAGGTAATGTAAAAGGTCTGTGTTTGCAATTACTAAGACCAGTGTTGACGCCCAGAGAAAAGAAATTAGGGTAGACCTGGGACACCCACTTTCTTTGTAAATCCTTGGGGATTTGCTAATCAGGATGCAAATTGAACACGCACAGCGTACTGCTGCCCTCTACCGGCAGCAGCTGGATGCGCATGGGCCCACGCTGCCCCGCAGAGGAGCCAAGAGCCCAAGAACTTCACCAGCCAAGCAAACAGATCCCCTGCCTGGCTGGATTGTGAATCCAGGACCTGCTGTTCTAGAACGCAGCCCTCCGTGCTACAAGTCTGAACCAAGCTCTTCACATCCAGCTGCTAACTAACTCCAGTGAGCCCTCCCAGCATTTCACTATGTGCCCTGGCTCATTGATGAGGAGGCATGTGTGAACACAAAGTCTTCTATGATCTGTAGTTTTAAATGCCATGTGGATAAGACACTTGCCCTGTTGGGTAAAACTAAATTTATCTGGACTCAAACATTCTGCAAACACCCAATAGTTAAGTACTCCTGTAAAATTGTTTCACTTTAAGTCATAAGTCTTTCCACTTGCATTCAATGCTTTCCCTACTTTCTCAATTATTGGACAGGATAAGGTTAATGGTGCCTGTAAAATGCCTCAAAAACTCAGCAAATAGGCCATAGACCAACAGAAACTTGATAGCCAGAGCCAATAGGGTGTCACACAGCCACCATCTTGATCATTTGTGGTAGGCGTTGTTGACACATCTTTTCTGGAATAGAGTCCAGTTCCAAGTAATGAAAGAGTGTAATGAATTGATAAATAAGTAGAAAAGCTACCATCCTTTTCTTAAAAAGGGAATTTATGTTGATTAGGTTGGTCATTTGATAATTTGGAATTCTGTATTTGATGCAGGTCCCTTAGATGCAGAAGATAAAAAAGGGACAACAGACCCCTGCCCTCAGGACACTCATGTTCTCAGATAAGGCAAATCTATACTCAAATCAAAGTAGTCTAGAAAGGTTAGAGTAAGACAGGCATGCCACAGTGCTCCACAGAGTAAAACAAGACATCCACACCTCCATGTACTAGACTCTACTTCCTGTAAGGCCTATTTGTTGGAAGCATTCATTCATCCATTCATTCATGTACACCTTGAAGGTTTGCTGCACATCTGGCACCAGGTGAGGCATGGTGGATTCCACAACAAGCCCAGTGACTCTGGGCCTGCACGCATGGAGCTTATGGCTGGCAAGCAGATATTAAGCAACCTCATGTGTACACTAACAAAACAACAGTGGCAATGAAGGAAAAGTCTAGAATGCTCTGGAAGTATATTACAGCGAGATCTGATTTAACCTGAAGGGCTGGAGAAAGTTTTCAGAGGAAGGGATATCTGAGCTGAGGTGTGCAGGATGAGGTGACCAGGTGGGCTGAGCACCTTGGGCAGAGGGAATGAGGGCAGGTGTAAGGATCCGAGCTTTGTGGGTCGGTATGATGCATGCAGGAACAGGAAGCCAGCGTAAGTTGAGTCTGTAGGAAGACATGCAGAGTTTGGAAAGTTCAGTTTGGAACACATCCTGAGCACCTACTGTGTGTTTGGCACTGTACTAGATGCTAGACTGCACAGGCAGACCAGTAATTCCCGCCTGTAGTGACTAAAGCTCAGCTGGTAAGCTTAACAGCCCTGTATTTGTCCACAGGGCCTATGCCGGTACTACCCTGAGGCAGGGAGCTGGGGTAAAAACAGACAGGGAGTGCCTTGCTTGCCCTAGGCAGTTGCTCCCACAAAGGAATATGGGCCCAGGGATGCCCATCTTTCATTTTTCAACAGTGTTAGATATTTTTTCAGATTTTTTTTGGTGTGAAATTTTCACTTTTTAACTGTTGTCATCTAATCCAACAATAGTGTTTTAAAAACACTACATTGGGCAAACAAAATCCACAGGCCTCGATAATGTCAGTTTGGAACTTCTGGCCTAAAGACAAGTACTAAAGGAAATGTTCACACAGCCGGATTTGAGGGTCATGGTGGTATGTCCTGTCCCTGGAGATTAAGGAATGCTGCAAAGAAGGCGGTGCCTGAGTAGGGCGGCTAGGAGCTCTCCAGCAGATAAGGGAACGGAGGGCATGGAGCACCACGGTGACAGCTTTGGGGGCAGGATAAATGAGAAAAAACTTACTAAAAGTAACTGAAGGAAACAGAAATATGGGAAAATGGAGCATGTAATTGTGAAAAATGTCCTGTACTCTGCCATAACCACATTCAATGAAAGGAATAGATCAGTTTTGCTTTTAGTCTCCTTTTTGCTTTGCAGAAAGACCCACGTGAACAAGTTCATTTTTAAGTGGACTTCCAGGGAAGTCAACCCTTTCTACCAACACACAGGGCCATGTCTGCCCTAGCATGTTCCAAGTCAGTCACATTCTCAGGAACCATTTTGTCCTACATCATTAATTTCTCCTTCTTCAGTATTACTTTCTGATCAGCCAACTTAAAGAAAAG